GGAACCCAAAAACTTGCAAGACCTAATTGATTATACTGTGCACAATGCTTTAACCAACCAATCAGGGGTACTAATTAACACTTTAACCAACATGATCAAGTCTGTGGTCGATGATACAATTGTTGAACATCAAGCAAAGGGGCCAATATTCCTTCCAGAAGGGACTTTTCCGCAGTATAGGACACTTATCACTGATAAACATCAGCCTATTTCAGGAATAGCCCTAAAACAGCCGATAGCACCAACATCGGCTCTTGGAAAGCCAAATATATCAACATCCGCAAGCAACCGATCGGCCATCGTTGACGGATTTAACTTCGTTTTCTTTCTTTGTTTCTTTTTGGTTGTAGGATCAAACAAACTGGCACGCCTAGAACCCGAAAGCAAGATTTGGACCTGCACTATAGTTAAGCATATCTCTCAGGCCAGTGCGTGTTTTTTCATCAACAAAACCGGCTCTCATAATTAGTCATCAGTGCACGGTTTTTAATAAACCGGTACTAAACCAGTAATCGAAGTACATTAAGGGGCGCGGGTTGGGCGGGCGAGGAGGCGTGCCAAGTAGGGATTTTTCTACAGCATGTGTAGTGCGCGCGGTGGGTTTTTTCAAAAAAAGTCCTCCGTTTTATTCGTAAATCCAAATAGGTCTCTTCCGAACAGTTTCCCTGAGGCGGTATTCTACGTAAGGGCCCTTCTTAAATCCGAGTATTAGATGTGGAGAAGGGTAAAAGCGCGAAATAGGACTGCGCTGTAAAAATAGAGAATCGAGAGGCTTTTTTGCGAAGTTCCACGCACTAACAAAATTGGACATGGTGTGCACTGCCACTATATATATACTCTCAACTATACAGTTACTAGCTTATCAAGCTGTGTGCCCTTCTGTATGGAGCTTCAGTTGCAGATTCCTACATACTTCCTCCGTTTCACAATATAAGTCATTCTAGCATTTTCCATATTCATATTAATGTCAATAAATCTAGATAGATATATATGTCTAGATTCATTAACATCAATATGAATGTGGGAAATGCTAGAATGACTTACATTGTGAAATGAAGGGAGTATATACGAGATAAATCATACATCTGTGTGGATCGACCGCTGGCTGATCATGAGGTAAAGGTGTTGGGATACGCGTAGGCTACGATAACATAAATCAAAATTTTCTATCGCGTAAACTAGGAACCATGCAAGTATTAGATCATAGATCGTTACCACTCGACGCGCTGCGCAGCGGAAGAAGACGTTGAGAAGTCAAAGGAACTCTCGCGAAGTAGCGCGCGTCGATGTAGATGAAGTAGTCGATCTCACCGGCTCAACCTTCTCCTCCTCGTGCGTTCTCCTCGCCGTACTCCCACGCCGATTAGCACCGCAAACCAGTGGCGCCTCTACCGGTATCCACACGTACAGGGACGGAACGCCACGCACAGATGTGCTAGCACCCGCGCGTGGCTAGGGTTTTGCTCGGGAGGGAAGTGACGGCTAGGGTTTCTCACATGATGCAATGCCTCCGCCGGTCACACCCCTCACGAATATATAGGATCCATCACTCGGGCCTCCAAGGCCCGTAGGACTCCTATTTGGATCCCTATCCGAATTAAGCTCATATTGGATCTCTATCCAATCTCCTTATTCCGACCCATTAAGCGTGCGACCCTGTAGGTTCATATATACTCAGCTGTAACCCGAAAACTCCTTTTCGGTCCACGCATCAACAGCGGTCCCTAGCAGAACGTATTGACCCACCGGGCATACATAAAGATCATATCGGCTAAACCTCTAGTGTATACTTGTATGAACTCCTTTGCCTCACGATATCGATTAAGCTCAAGGCTAGATATGTGCCATCCTCTAATAGCTCAATCATTCACTCGAACCTGTTGATAGATTATATAACTTGTGATTGACTCCTCAATCACCTTTGACATGGCCATGCACTTCCATAATCTACAACATCGAGGGGCCCAGAGATATCTCTCCATAGGAGGGGCAAATCCCATTTTGATTATTCATATCCCACTACATGTTTCATAGCATACCCGAAAACTACTTTTATAACTACCCAATTACGGAGTAGCGTTTAGCAGTCCCTAAGTAAGCTACTACATATGTTGAGAACCATGATAATCTCAAGTCTAAGGATTCAACACCAATACTTAATGAGATCACTGATGACACAACACATATGGCTCTTGCAGTGTCTCATGTTGGATCTATCCAATAACATGTTCACCAACATGTGTCCACATTATTAATTTGGTATCTCTATACCATGATCCATGAGACATGATCATCAATTAATACATGTGCTGATCATATAAACATATTTGTTCCACATATGATATTTGATCAGGGATCCTTTAGAAATAGTAACAAACAATATAAAGAGTCTCATGAAAGAATCACATATTTATTAACTAATAAGGAGTTATCTATTTCAAGGAACAATGTCGGATAAATATGTAAACATAATATATGATACAATCATCTCTATAATTGTCTCTAGAGCATATCACTAACAGAAGGTACAACGGCTGGTCAATGGTCAGCACTAGCTAGCTAGTGATGGCCGGTGTGAAGCCGAACTGGGAGTCAGTGGTCAATAATAGTGCTCGGCATCCATCGATAACTGCCACCAACATAATTGAAAAATCACCTCTCAAGCCGATTATGCGCATCTAACCATAGTATACTATTTGTTCTTTTTCATTTGACGTTAATTTCATACCTTGGGAATGTCTCTGATGCATATGTTTTATCATTATTTCTTAAACTATATGTTTTTCAAAAAATATTTTAAAAAATAAAGTGAACTTCCGATCTAGAGCTTGTCAAAGCGTGTCATTTCGGTCCCAAATTGCCATGGTTTCTGTGGGATCCTATGTGGTGATGATATGGCATGCCAGCGGATACTAACGTGACATCATCACTAACTCAGTTATTGGAAAATGAGGCCCACTGAAAAGTTTTCTTTTTTTTTCATCTTCTCATTCTTCTCTCACTTTTTTCCCTTTCAACTTTGTTGGAGCACGACGCTCCTATAGCGGAAAGGCACAACACCCTCCCTTAAGAGTTCGACCAAGGTGCAAGTACCCGAGCTTGTGTTCGGGTTCGTACAGGTGGATGTGCACAAGTGATTTATAGGTTTGGGTTGCTCGGGAGCGTAATACTTTACACCTTGTGGTTTTCCTCTATATAATGAAGTTTACAATGAGCTAGAGGTTGAATCCTTTTTGCAAAGTGTTCTGAATCTAGTTTAATCGAACTGAATCGAAACATTTTTTTTTGGCATGGATCCTCATTTTATATGTCAAGGGGAGTCAACGGAACTCATGCATACATACAAAAGTGGGATCCAACTTAGAAGAGTTGGTAGGCTTAGTCTTGTCATTGTCCCTCTAAGCGGGCTAGTCGGATACGATGGGCTCACCTATCGCCAGACACGTGGAGTGGGGGTAGCTGCAGCCGTCCTCCAAGCTATAACTAGGCCCACCTTTTAGCCATTGGGGTTGATGAATGTGGGTGTTGACGTGAAAAACACGATGGTCTAGGAGTTCTGGGTAGCTCCAGTGCATGTCCAAATCATACTTTCGGGTTCAGGACGTGCCAGTTGGTTTAATCATGCAACCAACAAGAATAAATAATAAAATTATGCTAGAATATGATAGGTGATCGGTTGATAAGACGATGACGTATTGTAAGGACCTAGCCGATGCAACCTGGATCGAATCGGCTGTAAAGTATAGGATAAACAAAGGTACGTAATCCTAAAACATGTTGCATCGGCTGTAGATAAAAAAGGGAGGGGCGGCTAGGGCTTCGCCCCGAGCTACCGGCGCGTGGGCGACGCGAAGTGCTTAAGCAGACTATAGCACCAAGCAATTAATCAAGATCTGTCCGGTAAGTAACAAATAATTCCTGTACCATACTCGGATACTAGGGTACAAGAGTTGTATCCAAATACATACATACATACATACATACGTGTACAATTATCGTATCCGAGTATAACCAGACGATACGTGCTAGGGGATCAGTATATACCCCACCGAGCGCGAGAAAGCTAATGGACGATCGATCGCCCAGAGCGATCACCCCTCTACTCCTCACGTAGTTTTCTTTTTTTGGCACCGTATTACTTTTCTATTTTAGTAAATTTATGCACCTAAAGTTTGTACACTTCAAGTTTACACATCTAAAGTTTATACACCTAAAGTTTATAGACCCAAAGTTTATAAGTCAAAAATTTATATACCCCTCAAGTATTTGAATTCAAATTTGAATTTAAATTCAAATATTTTTTATATATAATACCCCTCAAGTTTACACATGTAAAGTTTATACACCTATAATTTATAGACCCAAAGTATATAAATCAAAAGTTTATATGCCCTATTCAAATTTGAATTTGAATTCAAATATTTTTTATATATAGTATTTCTATACATAAATTTTTTTCTAACTCGTTTTTTTTAAAAAATTTATGGTGTAGTATGAAGAGAAGAAGGGAGGAGAAAGAGGAGAGGAGTGTGTAAGGGGAGGGATGGGGGGTGATCGCTCACCCGCCCATTAGCGCCCCCCGAAGGCGGCGTGGGTGGTGGGGACGACGGGCATCGTGCTGGCGGTGCCGCTCATCTGGATCATGGACCGGGAGCAGATGCAGGTTGAGTACGAGTCCGTCCTCGAGGCCGAGCAGCGGACGCTCCTCGGCCTCTGATCCTAGCTCGGTTCACGGGTAACCCCTCCTCGCCATCAGCGACAGCGGTAGCATCGTGGATCTAGGTTTTTAATCTTGCTTTTTTTTTCTCTTTTCCTTGAATGGTTCATGGATCGATCTTAATAGTTACTTTAGAAAGAAGAGAAGTTCTTTCCTTTTAATTGCGATTGCTTAGTAACTTATCGGTCGTGTTATGAGATGAAACATCTTATGCAAAGTAAGCAATCGTCTGGTTGATCCAAGTACACCGTTTATACATGGAAAATACAACAGATTTCTATGGTTTGTTCTTAAGATTAAATATATTATACCAACTCTGCCACTTTTCTTATGGCCTCAAATACTTCCACATTGTGTTGTTTACATTAGATCACAACAAACAGCAAAGCAAAGGCATCTGTCTCATAATGGTAGTGCACTGAATCCATGAAGCACATAGAACAGGTTAATTCTGAAGTCGTGCTAAAACTCTGCATCAAATCATTCAGCATATCTTGCAGTTTCGCAGCTCCTTCATACACAAGGTGTCAAAGATACCACGACCTATATCAACCTAATGAGTAGTAATAACACAACGGCTTGCCACCTCAGAATCTACAGATCAGAACCGCCACACCCTCCTGGAAGTGACACCATTTTCTTGCACTGAATGATATTTGCATACATGTACATTGCTCAATTCACTCGATACTTGTTTGACAGACAAACGGTAATTGCTATTCATTCATTGAGCAACCACTTTTGGATGTCATACACCAAAACTAAATGAATTTTTGTGCTGGTTGTGGTCACCAGATAACTATTGTTTAGATCATACCATGTTTGCTGCAATACAGAAACTATTCACTGCGCTGCTTGTTGCTGAGATTGTACAGAAGTGGAGTTCTTTTTCCTGCCAATGGTTATCCGTTAGTAACAGAAAGTCAAGATGAAATACCTTAATTACATGACAAGAAACCAACGATGCATTACTTAAAGCCTGAGACTAGCTCATCTGCAATATGATGTGAGGAAGCACCACTTGTAAATCCTAACTGGAACATCAATTGCTCCAAGCGCTTGAAATTTGTGAGGTAAAGATATCCAATCTAATAATAGAAATACCAACCAACAACGCAAGGATTAGTCTTCTCAACAAAAGTAGTGTGAGGGTAGTACAACAGAAGTTGCAGCTTAGAGTTGATTTTTCCCCAATATAGCAATCATTAATTAGTCTATAGTGGAACACACCAGTGTCTCAAGTGAAGATGCTCGATTATAAACTGCAATTCCAGCACGTTTTCTGGTACGTGTCTTGCTGCTAACAATATTTCTTCCCCAACGAAGTATGTCCCTGCAGAATAAGGAAATTCAGTACTTCTGAAGCATGCGCACATTGATATCAGCATCGGACACAGAAGATAGTATCAAACACTATAAAAATCCAAAAATAAAAGAACAGATGGCCTACAACAAAAGACAAGTCCTAGATAGATGAATTTACAAGTCCTGGACAGTGGACACTAAAGGGCTAACATCCCATAAAAGTTCAGTCATGTACACGGGCACTAGAGCATAAAATTTCCTGATAAGAATTTTATCATTAGCATATATTTTACATCTGGCAGAAGGCTAGAATTATTGGTTTACCTTTCTTCTTGAGTTAGAAAATCTTCTCCAAGAAGTTTGTTCAGCAGAAGGTCCTGAATAAAGGAAAATAACCAAAAATAATGTAAATAATATTTGATATACTTATTGTGTGATTATCATGTAGCAAACAGAACAGAAAAATAACAAACAAGAGAACTGCCCTTTAGAATTGAAAACAACAGCCATAAAAATGGAAAGCATTGAGTAAATTTTTGCTTATAGCAGACAATGTCCATCAAGGTATGCAAAGCACAGACCCAAAAAGATAGATAATAAGAAGAATCTGGCTATCAAATCCATTTGATTAGAAAGATGAAGAGCCAAATCCAAACCTGTGATTCACATTTCACGACATCCATTACACGCTTGTTGTAGTCATTGATGCTCAGTGGTGGAAAGAAGAAATGTCTCCGAGCATAAAGCTGCATAATCAAAGAGCAGAACCATTCTTATCAGATCATCCTACAGTATACAGACCTGAAGTTGAAAGTTTTGTGCACGTTATATGCACCATCTTATCTCTTACTAATCCAATACAAATAGAAGTGACAAATAGGCTGAGCTATATGTAATAAAATTACATAATAACAATTTTCAGTGCATAACCACAATTGAGTCAAACTGTTTCTCACTTCATATATGCAGTCCCCCAAGTACGCCAATGATGCAGCGTTGTAGAGCGAACGGGGCTTCTTCACCTCTGGCGGAGGTGGTAACCACCACCTTTCAAATCCCATACTTGTGGTCTTCTTTGGCACTGCAAACCAAAGCAACAAACCATCGATCAAATTCAGACATTTTCAGACCAACCATTTCAACTACACACACTAGAACAAACCGATTACAGAGACACAGATGGCACAACCATTCTATTGCTCTTGACAATCGAAGACAATAACTCTACATAATCATTTCATAGAAATTGTATTAAGACACATTCAGTAGATGTCATATATAGTGGTTCAGCGCCACTACCACCTAAGCACACAATATTCTCATAAGCTTCCAGCGGTTTGGGAAAGCGGAGAGGAGGGATGGAGATTACCTTGGCCCTCGCTGTTGCTGTGGCGGGCGAAGAGGTCGGCGTGGGTGGGGGCGGGGGCGGTCGGCAACGGCGGCGGCGGGGGAGGCGGGGGCTTGGCCTTGGGCTTGGGGGAGGCGCTCGGGTTCATGTCCCAGGCGGCGCGCACGCGGAAGCAGGGGCGGGGGTGGTGCACCGCCGCCACCATGGTCGTCGCGGCGGTGGTAGCCATGTGTGGACAGAAAGATAAAGTACGTTCAATGGTGTCAATTTATAACCTGATAAAGAAAGAATGTTAAATTAGATTCATGCCAAGTGGCACAAATGTCTTTTAGAAAATTTATAACCTGATAAAGAAAAAAAAGTTAAATTAGATTAATGCCAAGTGTCACAGTATGTCCTTTAGAAAATTTTGAGAAATGAAAATTTCTTATAAGAGTATACCTTGATAAAAAGATATTGTGTGACTATGAGTAGTTTGTGGTCTAGATTCTTCTTAAGAAATTTATGTGAGTTTGGATGAGTACAAAGTATGTGAGCTTACATTTTTCGTTCTAAGGGTGTTTGGATGAGATTCAGTAACCAAATTACATCAGCTAAAAACGGAAATCAAAATTAACAACTTGAAAGTAGGTGGAGCTGGGTAGAGGCAGATCTAACCCCCAAACTTTTTGAGGGATAACGCAGAATACCTGATGAGGTATGGGTAGAGAGGGATGCTCACCGGCGAACGACGATGCGGTGGAAGAAGGAGGACGCCGGGCTCCACCTCTGCTCGCAGGATGGGGATCGGCGCAAGCGGTGGGCGAGGAGACGAAATTCGAGGCCGAGGCCAGATGGGATGGATTAGGATGCAAATGCGGCGGGAGCAGGAGGACGCCGGCGCCACCTCTGCTAGCAGGATGGAGATCGGCAGGCGAGGAGACGGGAGTCGAGGGCGACGGGCGAGGAGACGGGACGGATTAGGGAGGCAGAGGTCGTGCAGCGCTCGGCTGCCGCGGTGTCGCCTGCCTATGGGTCTTATGCACAGGCCCATGAGGCTGGAGTTTTTTCGTCTCCCAAAATAGTTCATCTAAGGTCCCTTATCTTGTCGTTGAGTTTTAAACGGTCCTCAACCCCTAATCTTGTAAAACCGGATCACTTTTAATTCAAGATAGTATTGCTTTCCGGTTTTGTTGACGTGGCGGCTGAGTCAGTGTAGGGCCCACGTGGACCCCACAAGCCAACCAGCAATCTTCTTCCACCTCACTCCCCTCTACTCCCATCTCAACCCAAACCTCTAGGGCATTCGCCAATAGGTAGGGAGAAGGGTGTCGGTTGGCGGGGAAAAGCTTGACGGCGGAGGCTGCCGGCTGACGTGGCTCCCAACGGCCGGGAGCGCTCACGTCATGGACTTGCGTGCGTGCGGGGTGTGGCGCGGGTCCCAACTACAACTGCAATGTCGTTTTCACCAGCACGCATGAGGGCTGGGGCTTCCGCCTCGTCACGCTGGCCAAGCTCCTACCCCCCAAGCTCATAGTCGCCCCTGTCGAGCTGCTCAAAAGCCGATGTGTTCAGGTGTCCCCGAGCTTCGCTTCTCCTCCGCAGAGGCGAACGCACGGCTCCACCGCATCGTCTTCGAGGTCAACTCCATCTACTCCACATTGCGGTCGCATCGTCCTCGATGCATGCGCCCTTCTCCCCAACGCTCGCCACCGCCAAGCTTCTTGTTGGCTGCCAACCTTATTCCCACCAATCGCCAGGCGCCGTCGTCGGGCTTCTACCTACCGCCGCCGCCCAATGACCGCCTCCCTTCTCCCTACTGGTCACCGGCCACCACACACCTCTCCCGCAATTCAGCGTCTAGCGTCCTCTTCGCGTGCATGCACGGGCACTCATGGAGTCAGTGGTGCTCGCGAGTATACTCAGGCGTCGCAACGTACTCCATCTCCCAACTCTTGGAGATTCTCTCACCAATCCCGACGGTGTGGCTGACATGCGACCACAATGCGGACACGGCGCAGATGCGCGGCGAGCTGCCACGCAACAATGTTGTGGTGTAACCCAAGGGGACGATGTGTCGGGAGCCCTTCCTACTTCGCTTTTTCGCGCTCTTCGCCGTGCAGGTCCATGACGCAGCCGTCAGTCGCCACTCTTCTCCCTACCTGTTGTCGGCTGCCCTGGAGGTTTGGGTTGAGAAGGGAAGAAAGGTGAGATAGGTGGGAGAAGATTATGGACTGACATGTGGGACCCACATGGGCCCCACGCTGACTCAGCCACCACGTCACCAAAACCGGGGAGCAATACTGCCTTGGGACCTAATGTGACCCGGTTTTGCAAGATTAGGGATCTGTTATATCTGGTATTTCAATTCAGGGTCAATTTCGAAACTCGACTTCAAGATAAGGCACCTCAAGTGAACCATTTCCTTTCATCTCTCTCATTTCTTTCTTTTAAGAATAGCAAACATGCTCGTGCGTTGTGATAGGAAATCCAAATTACATATGTTATTTTTTTGGTGTACGGTGGCGGAGAGTTAGATGATGGATATTTGGGGGCCTTTTTTCATGAACCTGGGTGGGTCTCATGCACGTTGTGGATGGAACATATGATAGAGATGTGGGTTTCACGTAGTGATATAATTACTTATTGGTGTGGTATAAAGATTTTATTTTTTGTTGCAAGGGCACTTATCACTATAAAAAATGATTTTCGCATTTGGCTAAAACCTGTTCTTGCAGGCTACTAGGTCTAAATATTTTTTTTGCTATAAGGGCGCTTATCACTATAAAAAATAATTTTTAGTATCTTTCCATATGGGCAGCACAAATCGCACACGAAAACAGGGTTTTCACACGTGGGTACATATGGTAGCTATTTTTTAAGAAAATGAACTATTATATGTGCAACTGGTGAATCAGTGAAACAAAAATATTTAATAGCTAAAACTGGTTGAGTGAAAAAAATAATATGAAACGAAGGGAGTAAAGTATATTCTATGAACTGTGGCGGTCACAAGATTTCTATACACTTGAAGACAGCATAGTTTACTTGAAGATTTCTATACCGGACCGGAGAATGAGCCGGTCGAGGTCTCGGTTCACTGGTTTGGTGGTTCGGCCGGTCCAACCGCGATTTAAAGTATTATAGGATTAATGTCTTAGACCAACAGAAGCGAAGCGATGGTGTGGTGGGTAGCGCGTGCAGCTCTCAACCGTGCGACCCAAGGTCGAATCCCCATCCTTTTCCAGCGATTTCGTGAGACCCACCAGCAAAAAATCTATCAGCTCAAAAGACAACTGACCGCCACGGGTGTCGTTTTTGTGATAGGGGAGGCATAGGTCACTGCCCAAGGTCGAATCCCCATCCTTTTCCAGCGATTTTTGGTGGACTTTGCTCAGCGGGCCTCGCCTCAGCCCATCACCAAAAGCCAGCCCGGTCTGACCTGGTTTTCCCCGGTCGGACCGCCGATCCGGTTTGATCCTAATAACTATGGAAGACAGATTCGTGAGACCCACCAGCAAAAATTCTATCAGCTCAAAAGACAACTGACCGCCACGGGTCTCGTTTTTGTGATAGGGGAGGCATAGGTCACTGCTTGAGGCCACAGGCAGCGGGTGCGTGATGTTGTCGTGCTCAGATTGGAAACTGAATTTTTATATGTGATTGTTTCCGTTTCACGTGGGCGGAAGAATCGGACGCTTGCGGGGGACATGGAAACGGACCAACAATTCACATGTCGAATGAAAAATTGTGTGACACACTTTTGTACGATGCACGGCAAAAACACTATTAATGTTTTAAGTAGATAAAGATATATAACTATATACATCGTATTTTGCAAGCAAATTTGGTAGGATTGATATATAGATACATTATAACCTACCTCTCAGCATTTTTCATATTTTTTTACCACCGTATACATATATTTCAAAGCACTAAGCATGATTTGAACATCGTGGTTTTAAATTTCAAACAATAGTCATGAAAACTTTTAAAAATATTTTAGAGCTTTGATAATGGTGTTATGTCTGGCCCTGCAAATAGAATATGACTCATATAAAAAGAGACGAAGAAGATAAATGCTCGAGCAAACCAATTTTAGTAGTTCAAGGGGTACAATGAGGCAAAACATAAGTTAGTGGGTTAAGGGTGTGCTTTTTACTCCATCTTCCTAACTTATACTTACTTCTTTTTATACGCACGCTTTTCCGATCTGTGTATTTTATGTAAAAAAATATAAAGAAAAGTTGCTTTAAAATCATATTAATTTCATGTTTTTTAAACTAATACTTAATTAATCATGCACTAATACGTGCTGTGTTTTACTCCCTCCGTCTCACATTATAAGCATTTTTAGAGTTGGACACGGTTATTAAGAAAGTACGTAGAAGTAAATGGTGGAGGATTGTGATTGGTTGAGTAGTGGAGCCACGGTATAATTCTATTTGTCTTTAATAATTCTTAAAATTTCATGTTAGAAAAAAATATTGAGTATATTTCATAAAATTATAGATATTTTACACAATCTATTATAAAACTACAGATCTAATAACATGTTCCACAAAACTATAGATTCAGTGTCTTCGCTTATCATAAAACTATAGATACTTTGCACGATATATCACACAACTACAGATTTAATATATTCATTTATCACAAAACTGGTTTATTGTCTTCATTATCACAAAATACAGGTTTTAGCATTGTTAAAACCAGTAGTTTTGTGATAATGAAGACATTAAATTTGTAATTTTATGATAATGGAGACACTAAATTTGTACTTTTGTGATAAATGAAGACACTAAATGTATAGTTCTGTGATAAACGAGTACACTAAATTTATAGTTTTGTAAAACAAGTTCTTAAATATATAGTTTTGTGAAACAAGTTCTTAAATATATAGTTCATGGCATCTTGCGGTTACAGAACAAATTGGGCAATCTATACCTATACTAATCGGGCACTTTTTTGGAGCTCTCACGTTAACCAGAAAGATCTAAGCGTCAATTAGATAAGTCGTTTAATCTACACCGTAGATCCTGCAATACTTTAACATCGTGGGCCAATCAATCTTAAACTCAGTGGGCTCCTTGCAAATCCTATCTATCCAGTTATCGATGGAAGGACAGAACCCATCTAATTTATCTCCAAGTTCCATCGTGAGAAATCAGATTGGAAATTAAGAAGCGATAAAGAAACGGCGAACGCGATCGAGAAGGACGTGAGCGAGGGCGACGAGATATGCATAGGCTGCAGTCGACCTTG